AGGTCGAAGGATCATTGGAAGTTTGAGACCAGCTTCCCAGACAAGCGCAAGGGCCTAAGTTCAATCCCTGGTTCTGAAAAAAAAAAAAAAAAAAAAAAAAAAAAAAAAAAAAGCCTGAATTACAAAGTAAGATCTTGTCTCAAACAAACAAATAAATAACAGGGTATATAGCTTAGTGCAAAAAAGAAAGAGGGGCCGGGAAAATGGCTCAGCAGAATAAGTACTTGCTTGGCAAGCACAAGGGCCTGAGTTCAATCCCCGGTTCTGGAAAAAAGAAAAGAAAGAGAGAAAGGGAAAAGAATAAAAGAAGGAAAGAAAGAGAAAGCAGCTACTGACAATATAGAAATGACTGTGGCTGCGTTCCAATAAAACTCAATTACAAGGAGGCATGGTCATGCACACCTGTCATCAACTGCTTGGGCGGCTTGAGGCAGGAGAATCTCACATTCAAACCCAGCCTGATAAACCTCAACAAAATTTTTTTACATAAGTAATAAAATAGAAGAGGCTGGCAAGCACAAGGGCCTGAGTTCAATCCTCAGTTCCACACACACACACACAAAAGAAAGGGCTGCAGAAATAATGTTGCACACCTGTAATCCCAGAGCTGGAGAGGCTGAGACAGGAGGACTGCTGCAAGTTTGAGGCCAACCTGAGCTACACAGTGAATTAAAGACCAGTCTGAACTGCATAGCACCACCCTATCTCAATAAAAGAAAAAGAAAAAAGGGCTGGGTTTAGGGACCAGGGAGATGGCTCGGTAGGATAAGCGCTTGACTGGCAAACTCAAGGATCTGAGTTCAATCCCCGGTTCCACCAAAAAAAGAAAAAAAAGGGCTGGGTTTGTATTTCATCACTCCTTGGATTTAATCCTCATTACTTCCCTGCCCATCTTTATTTGTACAAATGGACAAAGGCCCATATTTGACCTATGGGCCATAGTCTGCTAACCCTTGGTCATTGGCTTATCACTTTACCAGAATGCAGGTTGCATATGTAATTTAAATATTTCTAGTAGCTATACTGTTAAACATAAGAAGAAGTAGGTGAATTTAATTTCAGCAATATCTTTTATTTAACCTAATCTGACCACTACATTGTCATTTCAACATATAATCAATATAAAATAATTGTTAAGACCTTTCATGGCCCTTTTTAGGGCTAAGACTTAGAAATCCTTTATTTTAAGCTTGCAACTATTCTCAGTTTAGAATGGGCACATTGGAATGACCAGAGCCACGGGGGCTGGTGGCCATTGTATGGGACAGCTCAGCTCTCAGGGAAAAGCGGACACTATGAGAAGACAGTCACAGAGACAAATAACATACCATTACCAACTGATGCAGGCTATGAAGGAGAAGCAGGAAATGTTAACTCTCCCAGCCCTTGCCCCAACTGCTTCAGAGTTTGTTTTTTGTTCTGTTGTTTTTTGGCGTTTGAGACAGGGGCTTCCTATGTGGTACAGGCTGGAACATTCTCGTGCCTTTTCCCAAGCCCCAGCCAAGACCCACACTCAGCACGGACAGCTCTAACATGAAGCATTCAGACTCTGTGTCCGCTGGCCTTTGATAGCTGCCCGCCAAGAGCTGGAGAAAGGAATTGCTTTTGTTTCTCATGATGTCCTTGGGTGTCAGATCTGCTGCGCAGCCATCTCTGACCTCGTGCAGCTGTGGAGGACTTAGGGCAACAGCGTCCAGGCGGAGTCCAAATGCCTGGTCCTTGGCTGTGGCAGTTTTTCTACCAAGGAGCAGAAGTGCTGGCGTCCGGATTCAGAACCTTAGGCTAAACTTGCAGACCTGGTGTGAATCCAGGCTTTGCCCTTCGCTAACTGGGTGGCCTTAGGCAAGGAAGTTCAATTCACTGAGCCTCAGAATCCTCGTCCGCATGAGAAGGACAATGTTGCTGACGTTGTGTAGTGGCACATGCTTGGAGTGGAAGATCGCCATGAGATCACAGCCAGCCTGGACTACATAGGCAAGTCCAAGGCCAGCCTGCACAACATAGTAAGACTCTGTTTCAGTCTATCAGTCCATACATGGAGCTTCTGATGTGGTACATGTTAAGTTGGTGCCCCCAGACTCTGAATTAATTGCCCCCTCACCCTGCCTGGTAGCTAGTAGATCACAGCATTTGCACCCCCTCCTGTGGTATGTGTCTCATGGACGTTTGCTTCCCATTTGCCTGGGAGTCCCCAGAGTGGGGACTGTCTTGTCCATCTCAGCAAGAATAAATCTCCCTGCATTTGATGCTTTTCTCTTTGCCTTGATTGTAGAACATTCTTTATGAACTTCCCCTCCTTCTGACATGTTTTCCTTCTCAGAGAGAGAATTCCTTGGATCCTATCAACAAACTGGGTCAGCCTCCCCCACTTACACCCTCCCCCAGCCCCCCTGTACTTTTCCTCCCAAGCATTTAGCACTTGTAATTAATGAATTATCTGGGGAATCTGTAGTAATGTCGTCCTCCCCTGCTGGACCATCAGTCCCATCAGGGGACCAAGCTTTGCAGCATTCGTGACTGGGTTCATAGCACCCAGTGAATGAGAGGCAGTCTGTCACTCTGGAAGTTCAGAGACCAGAGACTTCTCTGAAGAGCAGTGAGGGAGATTACAGTGTTTTCATAAGTAGCCTTTTAAAAACCACTTGTTTGACAGTGGCCATACATCTCTCTCTACATCTCTTTATTAACTGCTTCTACTTGAGCTTTGTAAAATCCTCAAAGTGTGTTGTCCAGCAGAAATATAATGTGATACACAAATGTAATTTCACTTTTTCCAGTAGGAAATGAAAAAGCAATTTTAAGAAAAAAAATGTGATTATGTGTTATCACTTTGATATGTAATCAATGTTAAAAAACAATATTGATGAGCTGTTATTGCATGTTGAGTCTCCTAAGTCCTGTGTATTTCACACTCACAATGCATCCTAACTTGGACCGGCTGTATTGTAAGTGCCCAGTAGCCAGAAGGGGCTAGTGGCTGCCATGTTGAACCACTGCAAATTCTTCTTCCCAGAATGCACCGTGGTGTATGGGGATGCAGGGCCTCTCTCAACTAAGGCCGTTACCTGGTCCCAGGACAAACACAACTGAGATCATCATCTGGTACCAGCAGAAATTGCTCTCCCAGGCAAGGAGGGAATTAATTGGTCCTACCTAGAAGTAAAAAAATCTATGGGGCCTAAGGTACCTCAGGGGTTTTTCAAATGGTTTTACGTGTATTAAATCACTGGAGCCCCCAGCACCTCTTAGAGGGAAATTATTGTATTACCTCTACTTTACAAATGGGGAAATAGAGGCACAGAAGATTAAATGACCTTCCCATGGAGCTGGAATTTGAAAACAGCTGGCTCTAGGGCCTATACCTCTGTCGCCCACCTCCCCAAACCAACTCAGAAATAGCCCCTGAGGATGTAGATGAGCCCCCAGCAGGGTGTCACAGCTGAGACCCAGAGCTGCTGGGACCCACTGGGGTTTGTTCATTCAGCAAAACATGCTGAGCAGCTCTCTGGCATCCTTTGAAAGTACAATGTGAAATGGTGCTGAGCCCCAGATACCCTCAGCCTCCAGGCCCTGGGAGAGTCCATGTGCTGCCAGATGTGTCCGCCTGGCCACCAGCATCTCCTGAGGTCCCATCCACGGAATGGGGAAGACCCGTGAGCAGCAGAATGATGCCTTCCTTGGTGACAGCTCTTCACCACCAGACCACCCTCCCTCCACTCAGCTGTCCATTTAGGAAGCACCTGTTGAGCACTTTCAGTCTACCAGAAGCCGTGTCATATAACCCTGTTATTGCAGCCTTTGTTGAAGCTGTTTGATGTCTTTCAAGAACTTTAACAATTTCTCTTTAATTTTCCATAGCAAGAAATATTTCCAGCTATGTCCCAATTTCTTCCAAAACCAGATGTTTGAACTTCCATCATTCTCTTTAATATATGAAAATTAATAATCCCAGTTAATAACCCACTGTGGGGCTGGAGAGATGGCTCGGTGGTCTAAAGCACCTACTTAGAACAAGCTTA